TTCGAAGTTGATCGATCGTTACTCCCGGTCGTTACTCTGGAGTCCCGATTTTAATATAGTGAAGATAAAGTCATGTGTAATATTTACATATTGCCTAATATAGCATAGTATATTTTAAAAATTTGAATGCGGCTATTTGCATCGCAATATATGAGTATACTCTTTTCTAAACGCACTATTCATTGCACCGTATATGAACGGGTTGACTGCACAGCTTGCTGCCATGCAGTACGTCACTATAAGTTCAACCTGACGAGGCACATCAGCAAAATGTAGAAGGACTACAATAACAGGAAYCCAAATAACAATGTACGCTACGACAACCACAAAGCATTTCCTTGTCAYTTTGATCTGCTGAAATGTAGGTCCAAGTTTTTGCGTTTTTCTAGCAATGCCATTTGAACTAGTGTCAACACCAACCCTATCGCCTTTGCCTTTGACGTTGCCATCACCATTACTGTTYCCAATGCCGTTGGCATCGTCATTGCCCGGGCCAGTTCYACCACTATCCATATGAGTGGTATTTTCGGTGCTGTTGATTTTGTTTGGGCCAAATCCATGATTTTCATCGGKTTTYTTTCGAATATAGTTCATACGACACACAATACGTTTCTTATGTTGTTGTATTTTCCTAAATACACACATGTAACAAGACAGAACAAACACAAATGGCAGTATTAGTCCAACTACTATCGAAAGCACATCTWAAACTCCCGCTTCGGGTTTCTTCTTCTTAAATCCAACAATACACATAATTCTACCGGGCAAAAAGTACGAAAATAYTTTCYCAAAATATGCGGCTAATTCGATTCCAATGATAACACCAAGTCCCACGATCCACACGGCGCTTRAATATATCAAAGTTGTTTTCCTGTTGAAATATTCGTTATACTTAGCGGGTTTACAGACGCAAACATATCGATTCACGGCCAAAAAGGCAATCATGACTACTGACAAAAATGGCAAAACAGTGGTTGATACTGCTTGGAGAGTACAGATGCCATTCCCAAAGACTTCATTRCTGSCAATCGACGATGCTATCGTAGGAAATATACCAAAAACAGCATAGAGAATATCAGTAACGGCCAATGATAAGACGAAATAGTTTGTTATTGTACGAAGTGATGAATTACGATAAATTGAAAATACAACGAGGAAATTTCCACCACCGGCAAGCAAGCCAATAACCAACAATATAAATGTCTCCAATACAATGGTTGGGATATTACGGTCCAAAAACCCACTCCACTGATGAGAAACATTCATGGTCGAAACAGCCCAGGAGTCATGCAGTCTAATTAATTTTTGAATGAATATGATATTTTTGCACA